AAAAGCGAATTAGAAGCTCACACGTTCAGGTGTTGTAGTATTCAAGGTCCTCTATCTAATGGTGTTTTCAAAATTTTATGAAAATGTTTCGTTTCGATACAGTATGGCGCCAAAATAGACAAAATATAAGTTTAGGACGTACCGGATACAAGTCACTGTATGAGAACGAAATCAATCCCAGAAGTCGGGTTTATATGTAGAAAGTTTGAGCTCTTTATCTTATATGATTGCCGAGACATGAGCAACACAAAGTTGTCAATATGAGAGATGTCGCATTTTTCAAAAGTTGGTCGAAATTTTAAAATGCTCATTTCTCGGCAACCTAGCAATATTTTCAAACGGAAAGCGCCATTTTACTCAGAAATGTCTATATTTTCTGTTATGACTGATTTCAACAACTTCTGTGAGATACGTTTGAGCAGTGTTCTATGTAACGTAGTCGTCGCTTATGTGAAATGGCTCTTAAATGGGACGACTAATATTAGTGGTTGACCATTGCTGGTTACTGATGCAAATTTAAGTCTCCATACACTATCGATCGTATTTGATGGAATTGCGATTCCGAGATTATCATCAATAAATTGAGCGAGAACCTCTTTATCGGACGTGCCTTATACCAATTGGAGATTTTTAACAATAAATTTTTTTCTTCTATTAGATCTGCAAACGTATTGATAATATCTTTTTGTTGTTGGCTAATGCTAGCTGTTCACGCTCAATTACATCAATACGTGCCGATAGCATTTGAAGACATTGTGAAGATGGTAGATCAGCTGTTGCGACTATTTTTCATAATGAGCAAAATCAGTTTGAAAATTGTTTTTCATCGGCTAATATTTGATAAGCGGTATAAACCGTTGTTGATACGTTGACCCAACCAATATGAGACCATTTGCTGCATCGATCGCAAGTCGTTGTTGCTGACCTCGTTTTCACATGAACAATTAGTTGGTTGGTTATTGTTGAGTAGTGGTGCTTTCTTTGAGAGAGAGATCGTTTTACTACTCGACATGAGGACGAAAGTAGAGAGAATAGATGAAAGTGAGCGAAAAACGACAAAAAGAGCCAAATATATCTAGAAAACGAAGAGACTTTCGCAATTACTTGACCTGTTAATAGTGTGTTCCACTCTCATCCATTTACAGTGAGCATTCTTCTAATAGCAAACGGGTATCCGAATTTCTGACTCATAAGGTTTTTTCATAAATAATTATCACTATTTGGCCATCTCTGCTGCTTTTAAAGAAATATTTGACGTTTTGAGGAAAATATCACATATTTTTTCAAAACATCCATCTTGCAGGTTCATAGGGAAAACATTTTTATGGATATTTTTTATTTGTTACGCTAGACATGGTTCGATGCAGCTCACCAAGGTAATTCCAAATATGATCTATGGATAAAGTGTTCGTGGGCTAAGAAAAATACATTTTACCGAAGAAACCTAGGGTGTTTTGGAAAACTTACTGTATAATTCAGAAACATATATGCTATCTACATTGGTGTAGGACAGATAGACAAACATGTGTGCAGATTTTGAGCCAGTCTGAGGGCATAAACAAAAACGTTTATACCGTTAAATAGAGCACCTATCAAAGTATATTTTCGTCTTATAGAATTCGGAGAAAATACAATAAAATATAATAAAAGAAAAATAGACTTAGAATTTTTGGCCTACGATTCCGACGCCTGTGACTGCAACGTATATACATAAATTGTGTGCGTATTCTTTTAGATTTTTTGAATACTATCATAATTCTCATCAATTCTAGTTTTCGGTTGAAAACTTTTAGTTTTACTGAACTCTTTTAATAAAGAACTCACGCGACTAAGATCGACTTTAAGATGTAGTCGACAAATCAAAAACTTGAACATACCGGGTTGTCTTATAACTTTTGACAGTACTATACATGCACAAATCAAGACATCAACTAAAATATCAGAGGTTTCAGGGAGGAAGGATACTTTTTCAGCATCTAGTTTGGCACTTGAGTGCACCATGTTTTACCGGCTTACTCTTCGGAACATGATGCATGTAACAAGTACACAGTTATTTCAGAACAGTATAACTGGTGGAAAGCGAAGTTCTTTCGTCTTTTCTATTGTTACAAAGTTGAACTAAATGTTTTTCTTAAATGTGGCTAAGTCAGAAGATATTTTGGAAAATCAAATTCGAAAGCAAATGATTGAAAATTATCATCAGCTGTTGATCTAACAGTATCCACCTATATTTTTCAATTCTGGTTCGCCATGCGACTGGGATTAGATCTCAAAATATACGTAAGATAGATTGATATCGTATTGCTCATCCTCATATAGAGATGATAATCTACCATTTGGTGCATATCTCACTTTAGTGTATTTATTTTGAGATCTTTTGACACGATCCACATGCTAATTGAACCTATATAGGCGAATCTTTTAGATTTTGTGCATTTTTTGACAAAGGAAACCCAGTTTTTGACTTTCAAAACTGTTAGGAGAAAAACGGCTCAGCTTTGTAACAAATGCAGTAAAAACGAATATATTCTTTATTATTTTTTCTACTTCCACACACTGAAATCTGTGTACTTACCACAATTTTAGTTATATTTTATTTGAGATTTAGTATTATTCTATGTTTAAAATGTATATATTAGACAGTCCTACGAAGCGTGCAACTGTTGCTTTATCGATGACACATAGATCATGCAGACAAAGAAGAAAAAGATACATCATGTAGATACATCACTATGTAGATTTCTGGTTACGATGCAGATTGGAGCTATGCTCTTATCTAACATCATTGGACGACCATAACTCGATCAAGCTGGCCATCAGCATTTTTGCTGAGACTTTTCAGAATGGAACGATCCACGTTGTTCTTCATGTCAGAGTAGATTTTTATCTACTTTCTTCGGAGGTTCAACGCAAACAAAGTAGATGCAGTAAATTTTTTTCCTTCGAATTAGTTAGAACATACTGTCAAAAGCAGGTTTACAGAATAAAGGGAGCCAGTTCAACTGATGCAATGAAATTACGTTATCAAAGTTATTTAACAAACAACCGACTGCAGTGTATTTTGAAATGGTTTACTTTTTAGAATCAATATCTGTTAACTCTAGTTGGAACAACAAATTCTCTTCAATAAAAAACGTTCTCTGTTAACACTAGTTTCTCACACTCATCCATCGATGTCACCGTTATGTACTTGTAACCTTTGTCTTCGAAATAGATGCGACGTTCGAAAGACAAGAGCGCCTTGCTTCTCCGACCAAAAAACATCTCTCTTTCGAGAATATAAGTTAAAGATATCCAAGGGGCACTCTAAAAGCTTTTTCGCCAGCCTTTTAGAGAACTATTCAAAGGCTAGTTTAACAATGCACTGGTGCATTCGATTAAACCAAATCATGGACGTAGCTTCGAGATCACTTTTTAAAAGCCGACCAGAATAATCGAAATACCCGCGATGCGATTTCTTGGCATTGAAGTGGTATAATAGAAATTCATCAACGGTAAAGTCGTGGTCAGGTTTTGTAATTAAAATCAAAGAAGAATTTGGATCTAAATTCAGACACCAATAAGCGTTTGTAAAACTGAAAAATTACCAGCGAACAGTAAGCCACTGATGCAAGAGAACAAATTGCTTTTGGTTTTTTGAGCAATTGTGCTTTAAAAGTGATAATTCCTCGTGAGTTTTCTTTTGGACATTCAGTTATTGATAATACTAAATAATCATACGGGATGAATATCTTGCAATTTTTCAGTTTTTCAAACGCTTCCTGCTTACTGAATTTAGATCCAAATTCTTCTTTGATTTTAATTACAAAATCTGGCCACGACTTTAGCGTTGATGAATTTCTATTATACCACTTCAATGACAGATCTTGTAATACCTTTCGAATATATTTCAGTTTAACATCCTCAGACCAACCATGAGCCTTAAACTATGCTTTCAAATCGTCAAGCCATGTGACGACATTGTCCTGTTTACGACTAAAACTTTTGAGTTTTCTAATAACCTGATCGTTGAGAGACTTAATTAAATGAATCTCCACTGGATCTCGACGAACGATCACCGATGAACCCTTTCCTACTGGTGGTACGGACGGTGCAGTTACCTTTGAATTAGCCGATCCACTACTGGAACGTGGCTTTGTTTCAAATTCCATCAAAAAATTTGCCACGAATGTATTAAAGTCAGAAATTCTTGATCTGCTCATTGCATACCAAATACGCGCTTGACCTGTGAGTAGCAAAGGAATGTACGTAATCCACTTAGACTGGACTACCTTAAACTGTTCAAATACACTAATAACTGAAATTAGCAATGAATTTGGATCTTCATTATTTCCAGAAAATTTATTGACATTTTTTGCCAGACGTAATGTTAACAAATACGTATGCTTCAGGAAAATGTCAACCATCCGAGAACCATAAGAGATAGAGAGGTCGACTTTGTGCAGAATCGTAGAGTATACATTTGGCTACAATACGGCTGACTTGAAACTAAAAACATACTTAATGAAAAGTATTAGTAAATGGTTCTCCTGAAAACCCCTAAAGAATTTCGGCTCTAAGGTGAACAGATACCTCCATCCACCCTCTTTCTAACGGTGAAGATCCGAACTCAATAGCTATCAGTGTTGCCAAATTATTTAACAAACAACCGACTACACTATATTTTGACATGGGCAGTAATTGATAAATCATCATAGACAATATGATGATGTACAATTGATAGAGCATGCTGATTTTTTAATGAGTTATTTAAATGCATTAGTACAAAGGACAAGATAAGGAAAAGATCACGGAAATAGCATACTTTCGATTCTGGTTTACAAGATTATAGGAAAAAGCCGGTATCGAAAAATAAATTTCTTAAATCATTAAATTAACTGAGGAAAATTTGCATTGAGCCATTTCCATTGTCAACCACGTTGTATCGTCAGTGACCCAACATTGTGACTACGTACAAGTGAAACGTACTGACGAAATCGACGAATAATTTTCATGATGCACCGTCTAAACCAATCTGGTATTGGTACGATGTTTTTATTTGCTGAAAACGATTGTACAATTCATTCAAAATTGATCACATGTAAATCTCACGTGTAGACATGTGGTTCGGCTTCGTTTTTCTGTATCTTACTTTTTTTCTGCTCCGTTCAGTCTTACCTCGAGCTTTTATGTACTTCGTCAAATGCACACTCACATGAATGGTTACATAACGTATGCTTTTTTCTAGAAAGTTATCTTTCAACACTAACTTGACTTTTTTCCGCAGATAGTTTTCATTCGGAGCTTCTTCCAAATGGAATGTAATAGGAGAAATGCTTTTCTAAATTTGTTAAGAGCATCAGTAAGAAATTGAAAAATGCTCAAATCATAAAATCTGTATAATCCTTTATCAGATTACTTCATCTATACAAAAGTTCTCAATAGAACTCAGTTTTAAGCAACAGCATCAGGAATGAAACTCAAATGCTACATCTTGCTTTTATTCATATCTGACACGTCGTTATTTAGAAGAAATGGTCTGTATAGTAATGAAAACGAAAGAAAATGAAATAGCCAGTCATACAAAACTCTTCTACACTCATCAGAAAGTTTTCACAGCTCTCCCAGTATTCATAAGCGCAGTACTTTTCATGGCTACATGCACATGCGTACAAGAATACGCTGTTGCCCTACATGTCACTCCTCAGAAACCTGAAACAAGTATTTTATTAGATGAAACACATTTCTGTACATGTAATTAGAATAATATTTAAAGGTGAGCAACAGCTAATAGACTTGAATTCTCCACAGTTCACGTTCTGTTTCCTCGGTTATTGCTGTTCGACCATGTAGCAATAGATGATTTTCAACAATGACCAAATCATCATC